TGTCGAAGGTCAAACCCCGACGGCAGCTCGCATTCAGAAAGTAGGAGAGAGGGTACATCCTCTTCATGCTAGGGAGAAATAAAAAGCGATTATCAACTCTCCGCAGCAGCTTTGAGTCTTCCATACATGTGAGATGATCATTAGCTGGTATGCGATCTCCAAATATGAACGCTGGTTTAGGAAACTGGGAATGACCAGCAGGGGTCTCCATGTCTAAATCAGTTATCAAAATCCTGAGAGTAGAGCATTGAGGGAATTTAATCATTTCCGTTCTTTCTGAATCAGGAAGAGTGCACAATGGAATTTGGTTCTGAAGACTGAATATTTCATTCGCGTCAGGTCCCCCAATGTATCCAAAATGATGCTCTTGTGAAAGCGGCACATTCGGGAAAAGCACTGCACAATCAAAAGCAGAAGTTAGCGGCTAGAAACGAGCTATCAACATAGAGACATAGCCTGAAACATAAAGGGTTAAAGGCTCATGTCGAAATCTCCAACGCGAAGGTCGAGCCTCGCGACAGAAATCTTCAACGCGAAGGTCGATCCTCGCGTCAGAAGTCTCAAACACGAGAGTCAACCTCGCGTTGGAAAACTTGAACGCGAGGGTCGAGACCCACATGGGATCACAACCCCGTGTTTTCATTGAGCTAAAACGAGTCATCTTCCTTGTTATCAAGAACCCATCTAGGGTTTTCTAAGAACTTGCCAAGGCAGGTTATTTTGGTCTGCACTCACCACGACAGGGAAGCCCCCGCAGCGGCAGTGACGACGACGATGTCCCCGCATGGACAAGAGCACCGTCGGCGTCCTCAGCCGACGGCACTTCGGAAGTCGCTCCGGCGACTTTCTTGGAGTTCGAACCCCTTCTCCGAGGCGCCATTGATGCAGTCAATTGGAAGAAATGCTCTCGAACGAGGAAGACGAAGTTCATCGGAGATTTCACCGAAATCAAACGAGAATTCTCGTTCTTGGGAACGGCCAAAAATTTTGAGAGTCAAATGACTCTTGACATGACCGTTCAGGTCTATTTATAACAGCCGCCAAGCTGTTAAGATGGCACAGGATTCTTCACATCCGCGTTCAAATTTCCCAAATGCAAAGCCCAAGCCAACGTCACAAGGCCTGAGCCTCGCGTTTCAAATATTAAACGCGAGGGTCACCTCAGCGTTGCAATTCTTTTAAATGAAGAATATGCACTGGTAAGCCTACTTAACAGAGTGGTAATCAACACCTCTGTATCTCTTCAGCAGAATTCAAATTCTCATTGGGTTAATACTACACCCCAAAATCCACTTATCAATTCTCAAATAGAATGATAAGTCTCCAACTCATTGTCGATTTATTGGCTCTCCTCAGCAGAGCAATAAATAACTCGTTTTCAGTGAGGTAATAAACTCCCCCAAAATCTTGATCAAATCACAAGTCTTATAACTCATCACTCCGATGATAAATCACATAGCAGTTCTCCCCAGTGAGACGCTATAATAATCTTTCCCCACAAATGTCACGTTAAAATCACACCTAATAATCTTTCCCCACAAATGTCACGTTAAAATCACACCTCTGACAAAAATCAACTTATCGATTCTCGTCAATAGAACGATAAGTCCTCAAAATTGCCCTGATCGCAATATTTCTTTATGTCACGTTAAAATCACACCTCTGACAAAAATCAATTTATCGCTTCTCGTCAATAGAACGATAAGTCTTCAAAATTGCTCCGATCGCAATATCTCTCTTGCTAAGTTAAAACTACATCTCTAGCATTTATAGACTTCTTTCAGTGTTTAAAGCAAAACATAACACATGAAGAATTCTATTAGTCAACCCTATTATGGGAGTATTCGTCCTCAGCAGTTTGAAACTTTCTAGAGTTGTCTTAAATAATAATAAAGAGAGTTCTCTGCAACAGAACCACTGTGGAGGTATATTCTAAGTCAGGAATACATCTCAGGCATTTCTTGTGACTTGTATTTAAAATCAAAACATGATAAATGCAAGAAATAATGAGAAGTCAATATCACTTTTTATTCAAGAACCAAAAAAAAAAGTGATACAAAACAAACTTTGTTCTTGTCAAAAGAACATTACAGAAGCCAAACTCACTCATGCATCA